TATATAAGGGTTAGCTGGTATTATTTTTATTATTACTATTCATAGCGCTAGACTGTGGGTGTGGGGAGGGTGTTTCTGCTGCCAAGCGCTTATCCAGCCCTGGTTTAGCTCTGTCCCCTCACGTCCTTGAGCATGCTGGAACCCACACGTCAGCCTGAGGTGAACAGGGAAGCCCTCAGCCCCACATCCCTACCTGACTGTCCAAAGAGTCACTCCCGTTACATTCAGCAAGGGAGGTCTTGAGACCACCCACCCTGAGGAATGGAGAGCTATCAGCTTGGAACCTCCTAGGAACCAAAAGGGGCCTCGGAGGCTGGGTCATCAAGCCCACCCCACTTGTGCTCCAGAGCAGGGCTGACATTCGTCAAACTGCTCGCAGTACCTTGGTCACAGCTGTTGCCTTAGCCCTTGCAGCCCATTCCCCCATCCCCTACCGCCCTTGCTTTGCAGACCCAATCCTGACTCCTGTAGCTCTGTAACATTAAGCTCAAGGGAAGCATGTGGCATCAGGTGAAGCACATTAGGTGCAGGGAGAACCACTGGGGGCAGGGACTAGCTCAGAGGTCAGCAACTTGAGCTGCTGGTTTTCGCATGAGCTCTCTGGCAATGGTGGAGCCCCAGTTACAGCTAGGAGAAAACTAGAAGAGTCAGGAGAAAACTACAGGGACTTTTATAGGTCTGGGGTATCATTTGTAGGCCTTGTAGGTATGTGGTGGGTCAAATGGACGGTGTGGACCAGACAGTGTAAGGCCCTGACTTTCACCCTCACACCAACTCCAGGAGGCCTACTTCAAGAAGCACAAGTTCAACACGGTTCCAGGTGTCCAGCTCAGGAACGTGGACAGGTGGGGGCTGAGAACAGGGGCCAAGGGAGGACATTAGCGAAGTCTTATGACTGCTTCCTGATGGCCCCTTTCAACCCCGGGGCGTGTGTCTTGCCCTGCTCTGGGAGGGCAAACCCTAAGCTGATTCCCTTGCCACTTCTTGCCCTGCCTGTGGGAAGCCTTGAGAGGCTACCTCCCCCTTGAACAAGTTCTCCCTCCCTTCAGTTTGAAGAAAGAAGCTTATGAAGTAGAAGTTCACCGGCTACTCAGGTATGGCCTAGGGAAATTGGGGTATGTAGCATGGGGTGAGGAGGAGTCAGATATTCAGGGCCATGGCCTGGTAACTTGTAGAGCCACTGCAAAATGCAGACTGAGCTCCTTGTTTAAAAATTATAAGAATGTCAGGTCCTCCCTGGTGGTTTAGGGGGTTGAGTCTCAGCACTATGGAGCTATCTGCAGCCACTGCAGCACGAGTTCAATCCCCTGCCAGGGAGGTGACCCACATGGCAGCAGCAGACCACTCCTGTCTCGTCCGCTGCTCCCCTCAGCAGTGTATTTCAGTCAGTCTGCCTGTTCTGTTCCCCTCTCTGTTTCTGGTGAATCCTCTCACCCACCCTCATACCTCTGGCCTGTACCCCAAAGTACACTGTTGAGGGGAGCAGTAGGAGAATTCATGCTGCAGTGGCTGCGGATAACTTCATGGTGCTGTGCTTTAACTTGTGCCGCCAGGGAGGGCCCAAATAAATAAATGTTTAAAAAAGAAATTTATAAGAATGTCAAGATACCAATAGCAGAACGTTAAACTTAGGACATGGCCTTGTGTGACACACACATGAGAGGGGCCCTGTCTTGACCTTTCTTCCCCTAACCTGCCACAGTGAAGCCGAGGTTCTGGACCACAGCAAGAACCCTTGTGAAGACTCTTTCCTGCCAGACACAGAGGGCCACACCTATGTGGCCTTTATTCGAATGGAGAAAGATGATGACTTCACCACCTGGACTCAGCTTGCTAAGGTGCCCCAAACCACACCCATCTTAGGAATAGACTTCCCCCCAAGATGTAGATATAGTGAGTCTTTGTTTTAGAGTCTTCTATCTCAGCACTTTCTCTTCATACTCTCAGCATCCCTTTTCCAACCTTCCCCCCTCATCTAAATCCATATTCTGAAGGTTGCTTCCTCTAGGAAGCTGCTAGAAAGCCATAGGAGCTAGGCTAATGGTCTCAGTGACTCCTCCCACAGCTCTGACACACGCCTCCTATCCCACCCCCCCACCAGTGCCTCCATATCTGGGACCTGGATGTACGTGGCAATCACCGGGGCCTGTGGAGGTTGTTTCGGAAGAAGAACCACTTCCTGGTGGTGGGAGTCCCAGCCTCCCCCTACTCGTGAGTGCTTCATTCCTGCCTTAGGGAATGGTGAACTAGTGGGATGAGGGAACATAGCTAATGGTCTTTTATGAAACGTTACGTACTATCTCTCCAGAGTGAAGAAGCCGCCATCAATCACCCCAATTTTCCTGGAGCCGCCCCCAAAGGAGGAAGGAGCCCCAGGAGCTGCAGAACAGACATGAGATCTCCTCCAGGACCCTGCAGGGCTGGGTACTGTGTACCCCCCAGGCAGGCTAGCCCTTCACCCCATCCTGTAGGATTTTGTAGACACTGCAGGGGTTGGGGCTGGTTTGTTTTTAACATGAGTCTTAATTACTAACTCCAAGGGGAGGGTTCTCCTGCTCCAATGTCCCTGTTCCTGAGTTGGAGGTCTATTTATTTACTTCCCTGTTGGGAAAGGACAGGACAGAGCCTGGGAATCATTGGGATCCCCAGGCAGCTGATTCTGCCCTTTGTACGCACCCTTATCCCAGGCCTGGCTCAGATCTCACCTATTTATTGACTGTCCTGAGGGCCTTGGAAACAGGCTGAAGCCTGGAGGGCCTTAACTTACTACTGGACTGGGGTGCTGCCCTGAGGGTAGGGCTGGTTCTTACTCAGGAAACTGGTGTGCCCAACCCATGGACAGGCCCAGCTGGGGCCCACCTGCCGATGCAGACTCACTCAGAAACCTTCAGACACTGAACCAGGCCTCTTCTTAGCCTCTTCTTTGTTCATGTCTCCAAAGCTGGATAAGGTGGTCATTGATTAAAAAAGGAGAAAACCTCTGGGGATGTGTCTTATGACTGTGTGCTTGTGAGGAGAGGAAGATGGGTGCGTCATAATTGATGGTAAGTTTTCTTTACTGTCCCTCATAGGGTTTATCTTCCACTTGAGACTGTTTGGTGACAAGCGGATGCCCAGGTCTCAAACTCCCAGGCTTTTCTCTAGGACCCTTCCTTGCTGCTAAACCATTAGGTCTCCTGCCTAGCTAATCTTAGTCAGACACCTGTCCATAAAGATGCCTTAATCAGTGACCCAAAGAGATGAGAAAGATCTGAGAAGCTAGACACACCAGGAAGTAGATGGGTTGTCTAAAAAGTAAAAGATTGCCCAAGGCAGGGAGCGTGACAGTTGAGGAATCTGTGAAGCACTTAGGACAAGGAGGTGAGTGTGGAACACCTCTTGAGAATGGGTCTGCCTCCGGAGCTTTCCCCGTGACCCTGGTAAGCTCCTTATATAGAGCCTTGGCCAGGGAGAAAGGCACTGCTGGGAACTCCCGTCCTTCCCCCACTTCTCTGCCCCTGCTGCTTCCACTGGTGCCTAGAGTCCAGCTTGGCAATGGCACGGGTGGTGTGTGGGTTGGACATTTCTCTCCACCCTGGCGCCTTCAGTGTTTGCTGGAGCTAGAGATAGCACTTGGGGTGCCACACCACCAAGTTGAGAAGCAGTTAGTCTGTGATGAGGTAGAAGCCCGCCCTGGGCAAACAAAAAAGCTTTTATCTCCATACAGGGACCTAGGGGAGGAGGGGTAGTGTGTGAGAGGCACAGAGAGGTAGTAAAGAGGGAAGGAAGGCCAGTTCCTCTCTCGGGCCCTCCGGCAGGTCCCTGGGGGCCTACAGACTAGTTCTCAGCTACTGTGTGGCTCTGGCCAGGTTGCTGTTCCTTTGGGGCTCAGCAAAGGGCAGTTCTGACTATCCTAGAAAAGTCCAGGGAGAGGGATCCAGGGGCCGAAGGGGAGTTAGAAGAAAGACTAGCTACCCAGGTTGGACTTTCCTTGGTAGCAGACACCATATGCTCTGCCAATGGCTCCCCACTTAGTGCTGTCCTGGCTCAGTGGGCATCAGATGTATCTCTGGGATGTTCTGGACTTCAAGTAAAGCTGGGGCCACATCAACCGAGACCTACCCGCCTGGTTCTAAATCCCAGCTCTTCATTGAAACTATGGGCCGGGAACAAGTTGCTGGCCTTCCTTGGCCCCAGTTTCTGGAGTATACGAGTAGTTAAGAGGGCTTCCTTGGTGGCATGAGAGGTTAAGCTTCAGCACAATGCAGCCACTGCACCATGAGGCCATCCTCAGCCAGTGTGCTGACCCTCATGGCGCAGCAGACCTCTCCTGTCTTACCCGCTGCTCCCCTCAGAATGTATTTGTCAATCTGCCTCTTCTGCTCCCCACTCTCTCTTGGGTGAATACTCTCATCCCCACCCCTGCCCCAACACACACACACACACACACACACACACACACACACACACACACACACACTACAGTTCTTGGATATATAAATAAAATAAATCTTAAAAAAAAAATTAAGAAATCAGTTCTGCAGAGCACCTAGTAGGCCAAGACCAAGAAATACATGTTCTTTCTGAAGTCCACAAACGAACAGGTGGGTTTTACCTGCATGAAAGGATAGGCAGCTTGGATCCTCTGATGAATCTAAGAAGTGACCCTCTCCCATTGCCTGGAACACTTCCAGTCTCCCGCCCTATTCCAGCATAGCTTGTTATTTTCATAGCTTTCCAGTCCAGTGCCCCTACTCAGGAGGGGGTAGTTTAAGGCCAAAGTCTTCCCACTTTATGAGAAGGCAGACTAACAACCCTTACCACCTCAGGGCCACTCTTGTTAGGCTACCTCCCATGTCTGGAATCCAAACGAAGGGGAGAAATAGCCACCCACCTCCACCTCACTTCTGCTACCTTTCTAGGGGGCCTTCTGGAATCTGCAGCCAGTTTAGGCAAGAAGGACCCCAAAGATACACAGAAAAGAGTCCATATGGAAACATTTTTAATTGGTCCATGATGTCTGAAATGTCTTCTACACATCCATCTGGTTACTGCTAATTTTGCATATCCCCAGGCTGTAGGGTGCCTTTCATCCCCCAGGGGAGGACTGGGATCACCAAGAGGCCCCCTTGCCTGAAGGGGTGTCAAGGGCTTAGGGGACTGACTAGAGGAAAGGGCAGGAGAGTTGGCTCACAATGAGTTTGCATTTCCAATCATAGAAGGATAAGTCAGGCACAGCCTGAAAAGGGTGATCCCTGTTTGGCCCCAAGGCCACGCCAGCAGGCCTACTCCAGCCCAAGTGACACTGTTAGATCCTATCCCCACCCTGATGACTGCTGTTTGGCAGCACCAGGGTACCTCCTCCCAGCTCCCATGTAGCAGGCAGCAGCACTGGCGGAGGCAGAAGCAGACTTATTCCAGATTGCAGTACACATACATGGATACAATCATGGCAGCCAGCTGGTGGGGAGGAACAGGGAAAGATGAGAGGGTGATCAGGGGTCTTTAAGCAAGTCCCCTGCCCTCCAGACACCCTGCTGTGTTAGAAGTCCATCTTTTCCAGAGGTGGGTCTAGCAGCCCTGACGCAGATCCAACCCTGCCCAACCCCCTCACCCCCTTACCTCCAAGGCCCCAATTCCAGCTGCCACGCCACCAACAGTGACTGCATTGGTTCGAATGGAATGCACAATCTGTTTCATGCAACCCTTGGGGAGGAGAAAGAGCACCTCCAGTCAGCAGCTGCCCCCTCTGAAGCCATTAAAGCAGCCCCCCAATCTTTCCTACCAGTGCGTACCTGTACATGCACTTTCTGGGCCTTCTCCTGGGTGCAGTTTTCCACGGCTTTGTTGTTATTGTCAAGGCAACAGTATGGGGGAAAGGCATGGTGTGTTTTTAAATAGGGAGAATCTTCAAAATCGGTGTAGTTGTTGAAGCCACAACACTTTAACTGGAGGAATGGATGAGAAAGCAGTCAGTGGGGCATTCTTTCTTCCCCCCCAAAAACCTCCTCAGCCCACCTTACATTTTCCATGGTGGAGTTCCAAAGTTGCGTGATGTCCTTCTGGGAACCATAGTCTTTCTTGATAATGGACACGATCATTGGCTTCAGCAATTCTTCGCTCTGGGTAGGACAGGCCAATGTTTAGGGACTGGTAGGGAAGGCACTTCCAGGGCCTTGCCCAGTCTTCCCCCCTTGCCCGATCTCTGCCCCTCACCTTTTTGGAGTACACCAAGACAACCACAGCAGCTGCGATCTCAGCAATGAAGATGAGGAGGAGGATGATGAAGAACTGAGTGGAGAACAGGGGTCTGAGTTTCAGGGAGAAATAGCCCATCTGCCTTCCTTGCCCTAGCCCCTCTTCCCCGCAGAGTAATGAGGTAGTGACCCCCTTTGCTGAGACCCCTGAAGGACAGAGCAGGGTTTGGGGATCCCCAGGATCTGGTATCTAGGGTGAGGGGACCTGGGACTTGGCCATGGACTGTGGAACCGGTGTGACAGACCATCATGAGGGCACACTTGCTCTCATACTGTGCCCCGTAGCAGCCCAGGAAGCCGAGAACAAAGAGCACAGCTCCAGCCGCGATGAGGAAGTAGCCCACGTTGACAAACTGCACAATGGTGGACGACGAGCCGAAGATCTTCAGGAAGGATGGCCCGTCAATTGACACCCAGATGCCCACTGCCAACAGGGCCACACCACACAACTGGGGACAGAGAGACAGGCCTTGAAACAGTGTGGCAAGCAGCTCCCTACCACAACCAGTGAGGTGGGAGCTGAGAAATTTCCCCCTTTTATTTGCTGAAAATTTATCCTGTAGGGAGGGAAAACATTCCTCAAAGTTAGAAAGATAGAAACTGAGATGCCTACAGCTGGCACAGGCTGCACACCTTGGTAAATTAAATAGAACTGGAAGGGTGGGGAGGGAGGTTTCAGAAATAGCCACAGAGTGGGGGGAGGGGAAATGCTTTCCTCACTGCTGCCAGGGCCCTGCCACACAACCAGGAGAGAAAACAAGCAGTTGAACTCACCGCCCCCCCCCAACCCCCCCATTTTCTTTCTGGGCTTTCAGTGCCCAGGACTCTGCTGTCCTCTGATAGGAGGAAATAAGGGTGGTAGCACTGAACCAGCTCAACAGTCACCGTAGCAACCTAGGCGGGGCGAGATCTACACCTGCTCCCAACAGTGGTAAAGGAGGAGGTAGGGGACAACCACTCAGGCTCCACCTGGCTCCCCTCCAGTCAGACTCCAGGCCTTTCGTTCATCTGGCCTAGACCTCTCCTTGCCTCATAAGTGGAAAAAGGTACCAGAAGGTGATTACAACTAGAGTTTCTCTCAGAAGCTCCAACTCAAACCCCAAACTTTAGAGGGAACCCTGAGGCTACACTTGGGCCGGCACTGACCAGTTCCCACAATTCTTAGAGCACAGCTGTGTTAATCAAGAGCTTCAGTGGACGAATCAGCCTGATATCACCTTGGTCCCAGCCCAAACTTTCCAGCTACAGAAACTGAGGCAGGAACTAGAGGAAAGGTGGGAGATTGTGGCTGGATCACAGGCATGTTTGCTCAAGGACAGAAAACTGGGCTTTCAGCCTGCAGGGTCAAATTTCAAGGAGTCTCAGGCCTGCCCTGCCCTGCCCAGTCTGGGCAACAGAGGCCAAAACCAAACCGGATTTGCCTTTAACCCCCTCAGGCCAGAACCCTTGCTCTCCAAATCCCTAGAGTCTTTTAGTTTTCTCCCGATACATGAATAAAGGTTAATTCCTTGAAACCAAAGGAAACCCAAGACATGGGCCACACTGGAATTAAGAGAGTTTACTCACCCCCTGCCCAATTTGTCCAAATTCGTCTACACTTGATGTCTCTCTTTTACTCATTTCAAGCTATTCTAATGTGGCTGCTACATCTCTGGTGACACACTGTGCAGTGGACACTTCATGGGCCATGCCCTACTCTGGCATCTCACTATCTTTGTTTCCTTCTTCTGTTGCCTTTTCTTCATGAGCTTCCTGAGGGTACTTTCTCCTCTGGACCCTTGTAGTTGGGTTTCCCCAAATTCATCCACTTGCTCTCATCCACTTGCTGGCTTCTGTGATCACCTGTGGGTACCTAGCTTTCAGATAATTAGCTTGAACCTGAACTACAACCCCATAGAGTACAAAGCTTTCTGGCAGACTTCCCCCAGGGTGCTTATGCCAGCTATATGGGCATCATCTCAATATCTCCCTTGTCCTTTCCAAACCTCAGCCACCCTGTGAGGGCTTTCACCATTGTTCATTTCTCTCTATCTCCACCACCATCTCCAAGGTGCATGCCTCATTGCTCAGCTTCATCAAACATACCTTATACATTCTGTTCCTGGTTTTCTGAGCAATCTCTAATTTCATGGCCTCTGGGTCTTTCTGCATGCCTTACAACCCCCTCACACAGAGCAAATCCCCAGCCTCAGCAATTTCCTCTAAGTATTTTTTGACCAGGATGGTCGTAAGTCCCACCAGAGCCATGTAAGGGCTCTCATAGTCCCTGTGCCAAGGTCAGAAATTTTATGTTGCAACTGTCTGCCTAACTGGCATGCCACACCTTCGATCCTCACAGACAAAGGCCTTGCTCACCTGTCATCCTAGCACTCAAAGTCTGAGGCAATGAGTTGCTTCAGAGTTTTAGGTAATAGATGTTTGTCAAATGAATAAGTGTTGCTTGGGGGCATAACTCTGACTTAATGATGTAGGGCCTTCTCTCCTTTCAGCTTCCTGTTATACAGAGGCCACTGGATTTCCTTCCACCGTAAGCAGAAGGCAAACCTCTTAACTTCACTGGGCCCCAATGCCTATACAAAGGGGGGAATACTACTCTGCCCTGTCCTGCCCTGCCATAAGGCTAGCCCAAAGCTTCCTGGGAGGAAGGGGATACAGCTAATCGTTACCCCAATTTATATGGCACGTAAGCTGCTATTGACACCAGGATCCAGAATTTGTGAAGGTTTCTGTACCTCATCATAAGGGGAAACTTTTATGACCACATCTGGGCACAGTAATCCCCAATCTCCCCTTGGCCTTTCCCACCTCCTGTAGGAAGCCCCCAAAAGCCAAACCGTACCCCCTTGCCCCGGCCCCCATACTTACAAAGATGATCAAATTGAAGATGATCATTAAGGTCTTAATGAAATTGAAGCACTGCATTGTGGCGCCTAGAAGGCAGACATGTGTGAGTCAGGACCTCACTCCCTATGTGGGCCAACGGCCTGTAACATACCAGACTCCAGCATCTTGAACGCATCTATAGTCTGACTGCTCTGGTCTTTTCCTAATTCTCTTCGAAATTCCCAGACCTGATGCCTGTATCAGACACTCTGAGATCCTAATACTCCAGTGTTCTCCACTGGCACCCAAGCCTGGCAACCACTAGAGCTCACTCCATGCCCTTTCCCTGGCACCTGTATACCTGACCTCCTCTCCAAACCAACAGTAGACTCTTCCAGGGTCCTTCCTCAAGACCCTTCCAGCTCCCAAATCTGTTCCAAAATTGGTTTTACAGGTTAATCTTTAGCAAATGTGTTCACCTGCTCAGGGTTCTTGGCGGCCGACCCGTGTTCTGAGAAAGATCTGCTGAGGCTCCAGAGGGAACAGATAGCTCCAGGGAACAGCCGCAGAGTGGGCAGGCAGGAAGACTGGGCTGGCTCTCACACACCACTGCTCACCTGCAGGAGGGGCAGGTGCTTTAAAGGCTTCCTTCTGCCTGCCTGCCAGCCCCACCCGCCTGCCTGCCCCACCCGCCAGTCTGCCTCTTTTGCCCCTACTGCCCCCTGCTGCCTGGAGATCTGTCCCCACAGCCACTGGGGCAGAGGTGTCCACCCCACAGGCTAACCTAAGGCAAAGCCCTCAAGACTCAAGATCTAAAGAAGGAAGAGAAGCCTGGGGTGGGGAAAGTGCCCCCACCTGTGTGCCTCCCATGATCTAGTACACGCTTTCTGTATACAAACACACACACACACACTCAATGAACTCTGTATGGACTCACTCCCGGCAACTAACAACAGAGCAACACCTGAGCAACAAACTTAAAGGTGCTAAGTATGAGGTAAACACTTAGAGCGAGTAAGTGGTACAGTCATGTTCATTCTCTCTTTTCCTCTCTCTCTCCTGTCTCTTTCTTCCCTCCCTCTAGTGGCTGAAGGTTTGGTAACTTTTGCTCCTTCCCTGGGTAATAAGCAGCTCTTAGACCTTTTCCCACTATAAAACCCATCTTTGCCCTTTCTTGTCTTTCCCCCTCTCTCCCCCCACGGCTTCTTTTCCCTCTTGTCCTTAGACACCCGTTCTTTATGCCAGCAGGTGGCACTATAGCCCCACAAAATGTCGTCACTCTAGTTCTTAAAAGTCAATTACTTTACATCTTTCTTAATCTTTCTGGGGGCAGCTGGTCTTCCATCTCATCCCAACTCTCTCCAATTAAAAAATATATATATTTATTTATTTATTTATACACACAAAAGTTGGGGTGTAGGCCAGAGGATTCACCCAGAGACAGAGTGGGGAGCAGAACAGGCAAATCAATTAAAATATACTGCTGAGGGGAGCAGCGTGCAAGACAGGAGAGGTCTGCCACGCCATGTGGGTCAGCTCCCTGGCCTGGGATCTAATTCGTGCTGCAGTGGCTATGGATAGCTTCATGGTGCTGAGACTCAACCCCTTGCGCCACCTGGGAGGCCCCCTACCCCAACTTGATGTCGAGGGGCAGAAACTTCTAAGGCTTTCCAGTCACTCGGACAAGGTGCTCCAATCTTGGTTCTATTCCTTATTATTTATGCGATCTGGAGGGGGGTGGAGGCGGGGGAGAGCTGGAAAGGTAGAACATTTCTTAGACTTGGTTTTTCCTGATCCGAATAACAGGATACATAGGGTTTTAAAATGATATCACCCTCCCCCACTCTGTAATGTGTGACAATGACCACAGAGAGAAGATCAGAGTGAGGACAGTCACAGCTGAGGGAGTACAGGTGGAAGAAGTGGATTTTTAAATGTTTGTTTTTATCTATTTATTTATAAATTTTTTTATCTATTTATTGTTAAATAAAAATTTTATTATTTTTTAAAAAAGATTTATTTTTATGTTTTATACAAACAAGAACTGGGGTGCAGGCCAGAGGCACAGTGGGGGTAATAGGATTCACCAGAGACAGAGTGGGGAACAGAGCAGGTAGATCTACTGAAATACACTGCTAAGGAAAGCATATTTCACAGCGTGTGAGCCAGGAGAAGTCTGCAGTGCCATGTGGATCCCCTGGCTGGGGATCGAATTTGTGTTGCAGTGGCTGTGATAGTTTGATGGTGCTGACTTTTACCCCTGGCTACCAGGAAGGCCCCCAAATCATTTTTATAATAGAAGGAGGCAGCTGAAAAGCAAGAGACTGATAACACTATCATTTATAGAGATCATGTTTTAAACACATTATTTATATAGTAAGATTTTTTTGTTCCTTCACAAAAATTCTTAGATTCTCTTTCTTTTTTTAAGTATTTTATTGATCTTTGCATGGAAGAACTGGGATGTAGGCCAGGGGTACAGGGGGTGAGAGGATTCACCAGGGACAAAGTGGGGAGCAGAAAGGTAGTAGATTTTACTGAAATACAGTGCTAAGGGGAACAGTGGGAGAGACAGGAGAGGCCTGATGCACCACACATGGATCAGCTCTCTGGTTGGGGTCCAACTGAGGCCACAGTGTTAATAGCATGATAGTGCTGAGACTTAACCCCTAGGCCACCAGAGAGGCCCCTTAGATTCTCTTTTTATTCACTTCCTAAATATGGGAACAGGGACAAAAAGGTTAACTATTTGTTATGATCAACAAAATATGTAAAGTGGCAGAGCCAGGATTCACTCCCAGAGTGTCCAGGCCAGTCTTAGACTAACACTGTCTGCATAGATGCAACCTCTGAGAAGGCAGAAGGGACTGGCTTCCAAAAAGAACATGGGAGTAGGCCTTGGCATGAGACTCAAGGAAGGAGATAACCAGGACAGGTGGCTCTAAGAGTATAGTTGAGTGGCAAGGTCACTTTTCTAAGGTTGCAGATGGCAAGAGTAGAGAGGGTGGTGGGGGAGAGCTTTGTGAGTCCCAGTTTCCTAGCAGGCTACTATAAGAACAGAGAAAAGGTGCAAGCTAGGAAGAGAGCCTGGGTAGAATATGAGGGGAGGAAGAGTGGGCTGATCTATGGAGGAAGAGGCAAGTCCAAATAACCTAGTGTAAGGCCTGGCAGAGATACTGATGCGCCAGTCTCCTGTTCGAAAGGAAATAAATCCGGGGCTCACACTTCTTCCATCCAAGGGGACCTTGCTGCTCCTCCACTGGCATTGGTTGTCTTCGTGACTTTGTCCTTCATCTCAGCAAGGAGTGTGAAGCCACATTCCTCTGTGTCCTAATGCCCAGCACATTTAAAGTTATGAGTGAACATTTCCTGAATTTTTGAATGAGTGGATGATTGAGTACAGCGCAGCAAGAGTTAAATGTTGGGCTCGAGGCCTTGACCCTCATGGACTTGAGCTTGCCTGCCTATGTGCCCTAACTGAGCCTCAGTTTCCTTATAAGGTGGATCCTCATTATTTATGGTTTCCTGATCTGTGAGTTTAATTGCCTACTACAATCAGTTTGTAATGCCAAACCAACACTTTTGGCACCTTTGCAGTCATTCATGGGTATGTGCAGAGCTACAAAAAATTTGAGTTGTCCAATACTCACATTCTCAGTTAAGGTTGAATTAAGGTCATTCGTTATTAAAAATGATCCCCCAAATATAATGCTGAAGTGCTGTCTGGTGTTCCTAAGAAGGCTGTGGTGTACCTTGTAGAAGAAATACATCTAAATGTCACTCACACACAGGAGTTCAATGCTAGTGACAATAGCATATATTAAATTAGGTGTCTTTAAATAGAAACAGACATGCAACTAAGTCTTGTACTGATTAATCAGTTGACAAAAATATTGTGACCAGAGGTTAGTAGGAGTCTAACCATTCTCCTAGGCTCAATATTTGCTAATTCAGTGTACATGGTAACTTTATTAAAACACAAGTAGTGTGAATAACAAGAATTGTCTGATCGGAAATAGGAACAGTAGAATGCCCTTACAGGGAATTGTGGAGTTAAATGGGACCTTTGCAAAAATACTGAGCAGTGTTTGGCACAAATTCAAATGCTCAATAAACATTAGTAATAGTGTTAATGTGGATGAATGAGAAAGTGAGGGAATGATATTCTTTCCCCAAAGGGCCAAGGTGAAGTTTTCTGGCAATTGTACAGATCATATTTTAGAGACGTTTTCCTCCCCTTCCACAATAATCCTGAGGTAGATGCTCTTTTAATCCCCTCGATAAATATGGGGAAAGAGAGGCATAGAAAGGTTAAATTCTTGCCATCATCACAAGATGTGTAAATGGCAGAGTCAGGGTTCACTCTGGCCCCAGTCAACCCAAGCCAGAGTCTTGTCTTAGCCCTACTGTCTCCATCCTGAAGATTGTGAGGAAACCTAACCCATGGGGAGGGGCTAGGGACACAGGATGTAATAAAAAGCATCACCTGTATACACCCTTTGCATGTCATAGAGGCCTCCACTGCCCTGGCCAACAGCACCTTCAGGCACACTACAGAAACTCCCTGTGCCCATGGGGCCTTCTCAGCTTGTCCGTACCCCTCGGCACGGGGGCATAAGCTCCCCATACCGCAGACCAGGTATGCACTGGCCCCGACCAAGGTTTCCCAGGATGTACAAGTGTAGCCGCAGAAGGTACCAGCAGCGACCCTTAGGACAAGCTGCCACCATTACAGCCACCAATCTCACCACTATGACCACAGATACCAACACCCGCACTACCACCACCAGCATGTGGATCCTTCCACCACAAGGTTAGCAGAGGAAGGTTCTATTATGTGGCGGGGGCTTGAAAAACAGTATCACTGAAGTTTCCCCACTTTATTGCTGTATATGTACTCTGAGGGACACACCCTCTGTGAAATATCATCCCAGACAGATGGGGACTCTTGATGGCAGGAGTCCCAAATGGATCATGGAGAAGTGGAGAACTTGGGGAAGTAGGTGAATCTAAGAGCACTGGGGCTTCTAGAACTAACTTGCCTTCTTCATACTCTTTCCTCTTTCCTGTCCTCAGTTCTCAGATACCTCTGTCAACCTGGGAGCTTTCTCATCATCTAGAAATGTCCTGAAACTTGTCCACATGCTTGACTGGTTCCAGATCTGCATCTTCTAGGGGCCTTGGATGGTGAACAACAGATAAATACAGTCACTTCTGCTCCAATTGCCTTATTCCACTTCAAGGTGTTTCCAGACATCTACGCAGGTTGTGAGGGCAGGGAGGGGCTGAATGTTGCCAGAGACAGGCTTCAATGGCAACAGCCGGGATCACAGTTAGACAGTGGAAGGACAAAACAAGGTCAACAACATATACCATCTCTCCATCTTTGACCTCATATTTTGATCTGCCCCGAGACGGGGGTATTTCTGTCTCACTTTCCTAGCTGCTTAGGGAAAAGGATCTCTGTAGTTACTGTGGAAGGTCTAGGGACTCAGTTTCTTGATGTAGGAAGTAGAGGCACCGATCAGAGATAGGATGAAAGTCAGTTGTATTGACTGAGCACAATTCCATGGTTT